TGTGTGTGTGTGTGTGTGTGTGTGTGTGTGTGTGTGTGTGTGTAATAGTTCCTCGTAAGGATGAACCATTGAACTTGGTCACAAGGTAAGGTGTCATGTGCAGGAAAGTGTTATTACTGCTTTAAGATAAAAAAAAAAAGCTGTTCAGGTTCAGGTATATAGTTGATGGCCATATGAAGCTTCAGTTTGGGAAAAATGTCCTGTTGTAAGTCACAAACACCTTGTTTGTGATGAACAGAAATGCAGATGTTTTCACTTTATCTCTGTGGACTACAAAAACACTTCAAAGTTTTTTCATTGCAAATCAGAGAAATCCTGGGATGTTATGGGTATAATTTGGGAGTGTTCTTATTGCTAGGAACATTCAGATTCCATATAGTTTTCATTTAAAGATCAGGTCAAATATTTTTATTCCTGTAAAACTCACATCATTGCTGACGCTGGTTTGGATGGATGAAGTAGGCTGACACCATCTTCTGGAATGTCGCTAACCTTAACCCTGCAGAAAAATTGTGGACACTGCAATAAAATCAGTTAATTTAATGAGCTTTATTTCTGATTAAAAGTAGTACTCAGCCAGAATTATACCAGAACAGTGCTGAAAAAGTGTGGTTTTTTTTCTACAACTTTACAAATTTGTCCAAATATTAGTTGGGGTATATGCGTGACATTGTATATTTATTTTTCATTCAGATTTAACTCAGAAGCTGAGTATAGACAGTTGTCAAAAAAAGAATCCACTTATGAATCCAAGGCTTCCAGGATTGCAAAACAACATAGTCTTTAATATCTGAACTGCTGAAACACCATAAAAGACATGAAGGATACTCAGCTAAATATGACATATTTTCTGATTATATATGCACCATTGTTTGTGTGCATAAAAAATAATATGAAAAACAATAATAAGAAACTAGTTTTTATTAAATGTTGACCAAACATGTAAATTTCTGTAGCAGATGTAGCTTACCTCAATGAAATTCAATGACTTATAAATGTCCTTTTGAACAAGTGGTGTTATTACTTGCCACTATACAAAACAACAAGGGTGTAAAGGCATGTTGATGGTAAAGAGATGGATAGTATTGCAAGACTATCAAGCACCACAGTTCAATAAATAAATAAATAAATAAATCATTACTTAAATAAATATTTGTATATGACATACTTAAATTACTCACTCTTTTGAATTTAAATGAATAATTAAAAGCATCTATAGTTTCTAGGCCTCAAAATTAATTTTAGAATATAAGCATCTGCAACGAATTTTAAGTCATTTTGAAGGGCATTTTTAAATTAAAGCCAGTTTCTAAAATATCTCTCTCCTGCATTAGAATGCTTGCGTTTGTTGCATGTACTTTTATAAACACAAGAAAGTTATGTTTTGATATGAAATTCCATATGAGGCCAGCAGAGGGCGTCGTGGTCCGCAGTTCGGAAACCTCGCGATGTTTTGAGCCGAACCACCCGCTAGTAGGGATCTTGTCCAGTAGACAGCAATCAGGAGAGTAGGCATGCTGAAGCGGTTCATGCATGCAGGAATCTGTCTGTTGCTACTCTACCTTTATTAAACAACGTTGAATTATGAACGACTGCGCCTTTAAATAATAAAGGAAATTATTGGTAAGCATCACTGAATCCAGGGACAGAGAGAGATAACATAACAGAAAGCAACCGGCGGGTCTGGCTCTCTGTGTCAGTGTGTGTGGGAATGGCAGCTCCCCGACCGATTAAAGGCATCCTGAAAAACAAGAACAGCGGCAGAAACCTGAAATCCGACGAGGCGCCGGCGGAGGTGACCGAGCATGGCCCGGAACTGTCGGAGGATGACCACCAGTAAGTTTTCCTCTCAGCTCCGCTCAGGGTGGTACCCTGGTAGCTAGACACTTGTTAGCCGCGCTCTGACATTTGTTTGGCGGTTAACCAGCAGCCTCCAGTCCGAGTCTAAAAGCTTCCTGGGTCTTTTTTTTTTTTTTACAGTATGAAATGACACCTTTTCCCCTGATGTAAATTTTGCGTTTCGTGTAAATGTGATATTTAACTGACTTTAGAAAGGCTCATTTCGGTCGGTTAGCTTAGTCGTTAGCTAAAGAGAAGTTAGTCACGTCACTTGATGTGATTGTAGCCGTTAATTAATGATTGATGACATTTCTATAACAGCAAGTCTCAGGAGTCTGACAGGCTTATTTATAATATCTTGTGAATGTATTCTTATCTCTTAATTTTTTTCATTTTGTCACATTACAGCCACAGATGTTAGTTTGTTTTATGACACAAAAGAAAGAAGTGAATAATTGTGAAGTGGAAGGAAAGTCATGCTTCCATAAACTGATACAATAAAACTCAAGTGATTTCAGACGTCGCCTAATCGGTGGTTAGGTTAAAACACAGTCAGAGGTGGGTAGAGTAACCAAAAATACTCAAGCAAGAGTAGCTCTACTTCAACATATTTTTACTCAAGTAAAAGTAAAAAGTAGCCAGCCAAGAAAATACTCAAGAGTAAAAAAGTATTTGGTAAAAAGTCTACTCAAGTACTTAGTAACCGATCAAATTATTAGTAACCGATTTAATATTTAAAAATTGAATAATCAGACGGACCAATTATAAAGTTAAGTGTAAATATTGGTATTTTAAGAACAAACATAACAATGATTCATACAAGTAAAAATCAGGCAAAAGAAAAATTTTCCAAATCAGTTACTTTCACAAAAAAAAAAAACTTACGAAAGTTTAACAAAAACTGCAGGTGTATGTCTTTATCTGGTGAATATTTGGTTAAAACATGTTTGTTCTTCATTCAGTGAAGTTACTCACAATAGGTAGAGAATCCAGAAATGTTACTCAAGTAAGTGTAGTGATGCGTCATAAAATTACTAAAGGAAAAATAAAAAGTACAGCACAATAAAAATACTCTTAGATGTACATTTTGTCAAAAAAAAAGTCACTCAAGTACGATAAAGGTAATTGAGTTAACATAACTAGATACTATTCAACAGTGACTGCCTTCCTAAGCCTACATGCTGGGCCAGTGGGAACATTTAATATCATAAAGAGAGAATCAGTTGTGCACTCAAAATAATTGGCCTTTATGGAGGAGTGGCAACAAGAAAGCCATTGTGAAGTAAGATGATCTGGTCAGATTAAACAAAATTTAACTTTTTCATTTGAAATCAAAGCAGTAAGTGTGATGGAAAACAACATCCCCATTTTGATGAATCATGGTGATGGCAGCATAATGCTTTGGAATGATTTTGCTCATCTGGAACAGGATATGTATATGAGATAAAGATGTAGCAATCCTGGAAGAAAACCCACTTGGCAGCAGCAAAACTTGAAACTGCGGAGGAGGTTTTACCTTTCAGGCCAGGACAGCGACCCGAAGCATCCAGTCAGAGATATAATGATTTACATCCATGTGTTTTTCATGTGTTGGAATGGCCCAGTCAAAGTCTTGTCCTAAACCCAACTGTAAGAATGTTAATGCAACAAAGACATGGAGTTATTGCGATGAGGCAAATCTGAATGGTTAACATTTCCTTTAACTTTTGCACTTGGATTGTAGAGTTGCTCTAGCTCATAAAAGATGAGTTTATTTGTTGTGTCATGGTATTTATTGTAGCTGGTGGGAAAAAAGTCACTGTGCTTGTTAGTCCAGCCCGATCTCTATTATGTTGTACAAGATCTGTTATTTTTAAATATACTGCACAAAAAAATAAAGGGAACATTTCACTTTAATTTTGTGTGTGGCTCCAAATCCAGACCTCCATTGGTTAATAAATTTGATTTCCATTGATGATTTTTGTGTGATTTTGTTGTCAGCACATTCAACTTTGTACAGAACAAAGTATTCAATGAGAATATTTCATTCATTCAGATCTAGGATGTGTTATTTGAGTGTTCCCTTTATTTTTTTGAGCAGTGTACTTACTTCCACATCGATTACAAGAATGATCGCTCATATACGGTGCCACAGCAGTGCGAGATGGTCGGTAAATGTAATTCAGGATCGATCTAAATCGCAAAATATTCACAGTATACAGTATACGTCTGTCAGGTTGGGAAATCTTGTCTATAGTTTCATTCAGATCTTTAAAAGCAGGTCTGGTTTTGCCGAGTCAGCTGTTCTGTTGCCCAGTGGGCACGTTGCCGCGGGGTTCAGCTGATAAGTGTCGGAGCGGCTGCTTCTCTCGCCCTGCAGACGCTTATGCATCGGTATCTCTGCCAGAGACACTTTAACTGTTGCGATGAGGTGCGATGCCATAAATCACTGAACTCGTAAAGGTGTCTCTGTTCTCATCTTCTCCATCGCAGCCATCTCTCATTCTCTCCTCACTCAGGAAACATGCAGAGTTCTCTGCTTTGTGGATTTTTTGTTTAAAGAAAATTAATTAATTTATTACCCACATAGTTCGATATAACGAAGAAACGACTTGCACGCGCAATTTTAACATCGGCATTTACGTGCAAAAGATGCTCTGGATATTTTTAGGTTTTGCTGTCGCTTGGGAGTTACACTGACATTTCTGAGCACAAAGAAACAACAGTTATAGGTCCTCTATAAGTTTGAAGGTTATTGTCTCTTTGTTTCTTGTTACTCCATAGTTTGCACTTTTGAAACTCTGTTCCCTTGAGGACGTAAGGCACAAAGCAAAGCCCTTCCTCCTCAGGTTGCCTCCTGAATAGGATTTGTAACATGCGGCGATATCCAAATTGGTGCAATCATGTTTTAATCAAGGGGCTTACAATATGTTAAAGTGTTTGGGTCTAAAAATAAATTCACTCGTATGAGAGCTGTTAAGGCCTAATACAAGCTGTTTAGTACAAGAGCTTCTGCACAGAGATGAACGAACACCACCCACCTGCCAAATGCTGCTAAATGTTTGATGCTAGTTGGATTTTCAGATGTTTGTGTGTATTTTTAATCTCTTTAAAATCTGTTGAGCACAAATAAAAAAAAAACATGCAATTTTTAAATGGTTTGCACTATAGACGATGTTTTTACGACAGTGTATAGTCATGTTAGGGTATCCGCTGTATTCTTTTTTTTTTATTTCACTGTCTGGTAATTAGGAGAATTAATCTGAGTTGCTGCATGAGAAATTAGGCCATAGAATGGCAACGGTTAGGATCCCCCCCCCACACACTAGCAGTGAACCGAGTGTTTTCAGTGTTGCTACAAAAATAGTCTCTTTTTGAATGGCAAGGAAGTGGAGGAAGAGGAGATTTGAAACGGATTCTGTGTGCAGCCAAGTGCCAAATCCTCTGAAGGGAATGAGGGCTGACCTTCGTGCTGCTGCTGTCAGCTTTAAGTTTAAAACATAAAAAGTAAAAAGACTGTTTATTCAGGGGATGGATTGTCTGTTGTTTGACCACATTTGGGGTCACAAAATATTTCCCTAGATTTATTTGTGCCATTGTTATATTAACGTGCTTTTTTCATAATTCATTTTCATTAGTGTTATTGGTTGAACTTCTGTAAAGCTCATTTTAATGACTAAAAATAAGAAATACATATAAATGCTAGAATAATATCTAGTTTAGCTAGACAGTATGGCTGAAAAATGTATCGCGTTACAAGTATTTCATATGTTACTAATAGCGTGACATTTCCTGTTTTATCCAGTTTTCATTCCACCTCGGTTTTCATTTTTAAGCAGTTATGAGGCACCGTGTCAAAACCTGAAAGTGCTACTGCATACGTTACTCAACAGGATGTTGCTAACTAGTAACTTGTAACTTGCTGGGTAACCACAAGTTACCTAGCTAGTTGTTAGTAGGTAACCAAAGAGTGAGTGAGTTAGTTGATCCCACCAACCTTGGCCGTGAAAGGTTGAGCTGCTAAAGCCTTTCCTCGGCCTACATCCCCCAGAATGCTGTGCAGTTCTGGATTGACGTTCAGTGAATATTTTCTATATTGAATATTGAATATTCTAGCAAATGTATTGTCTATTTTTGTTGATCATGTGTCCATCGCTACATATATTGTTATTTATTTATTGTCCAGCCCTAGTTTCTCATGAGTCTAAGGGACTAAACTCAAAAACCTTTCATGCTTTTGAGGAAGTGCTGCATCAGTCCAAATCAATCCCTGTTTTTTTTTCCCCTTAATTTTATCTTCTAATTCTGACAGACTCAGATCCGTTGTTGTTTTGTTTTCTAAAGGGCAAGAGAGGGAAAACGTGCTGTATATTCTTGCTATCAGAGAAATAACAATAAATAAAAATTATATTTTTCACTTAACCTGCAAATCACAGATCTGAGCCATTCAAGGGAAAACTAGCCAATAACAATTTTCCAGTCTGATATCTTTATGTGGTTGGTAACAATGCAGATTAAAATAGAATACGTAGTTTGTGCAATCACAACTTGTTTGATTCAGACTACATTCAAAAGGCTTCGCTTTGTGTCTGCTGTTTCTTCAAGGCACAGCGTTCACTAACAGCCGTACAAAGTGCTTCCCCTCTCGCCTGCATTAATTGTTCAGAACAGATCGCATCGCCCTCCTAAATCCTTCTGCAGTACCTGGAGGATGTCCTATTCTGCCTCTTCAAGCATGTAGCGTCCAGAGGGGATTTATTTGACCACCTGTCTGTTTATGTCGTAGATTTCCTGTCAGGATCTGGTGGCCTAAAATCTACTGCTACGGTCTGCAGATGCGCGAAGCTGCTTAATGAATGCTTCTGCAATGCTTCTGAAATGCAGTTTTTAAAATTTGGATGTCTTGACCTGAACTCCGCTAGCAGCTACCTAAAAAAAAACAACAACATTTTTTTAGGTCGCTTCTAAAACAAACAGGCCACATAAGGTTTAAATAAAAATATATTTAAAGAATGATTCTTATGGTTAAATGAAACCTTCAAAGTTACAGATTAAATGTTTTTTTTCCATTATTGATTTTAGAGCTGCAACTAATGATTATATTATTAATCGAATATTCATTCCCTTGCAATGATGAATAATTAATTTAACCAGATAAAAATTGCCACAATCTAGAGATTTTTCATTTAACCACCTAAGCTTGTTCTTTGCAATATTAGAAATACATGAAAGAATACAGATGAAGAAATCAATTCCTTTTTTGCTTAAGAAAATACAAATTGTATTGCCGAAAATGCAATAACTTCGCAATCCTTTAGTGTATGCTTGATCATTTGTAGCAAAGGCTGTATCTTCAGCTAAAAAATACTTAACAACACATAACAAGAATGACAGAAAAATCTAAGTGATGCTCACTGCTGTTGATTCATCCATTCATTTTCCGCACTTCTTTATCTAAGTCAGAGTTTTGGGGATGGTTGGACTCCATCCCAGCTTTAAACATGAAACCCTGGACATTCAGAGTCCCTGTCCACCAAGGGACCAACGCAGAGACACTGGGAGGTTCACTGGGAGGAAGCTTGATTACAATAACAAAACCAAGTCATGCGCAGGGAGGATAAGCCATTTCAGAAAGGAAAAGCCTGCATAGTCAAACTAATTAACCTGTGGTGAGAATACAAACAATCGCACTATTGTGACACCCTGATATGCGTCACTGTTGATATGATAAGTAGCCATGTGGTATTTGTGTTGAATGCTGGCAGCAGAGTTGTAGTCGGCGGTCATCGATCCAGAAGCTCTTGGACAGTAACAGATTCTCTGCAACCCATAGAAGTATTCGACTGACATTTTTCCAGGAGATCTGTTGATGCTGAAAGAAATCAGAGTTATTGGAAAATGTCGTATTGACCCCAAAATAAGCACCAAATGTTAAAACAAATGCAGTCGTTACTGTTAACTTGTTAACTACCAGTTATTCTGATTGTATTGGATTTGGGATAGGGTTCAGATGTACAAAGGTCAGAGATATGCAGTCTGTTGCTATGAAGCTGCATTGTTACTCTTAATATTTTCTGGCCATAATAATAATAAACTTAGCAATATTTTCAAATACAAAGTTATACAAGCTACTTTTTTAATCGACTATTAACATAGAATTCCAGAAGAAGAAGAAAAAAAACATTCTGTTTTTTGTAAGACTTAAAATTTTCTTATTCGACAATCTTAAAATGTATGCAATTAATGTTAAACGCTTATCCTGTCTTCTAGTTTTTCACTTTCTAACTCGAGGGGTTTGTGAATGGGTCTTCGATCTAATACTTGCATATTCCTGCAGTTGCAAACTACATGAGTTGCTATACGTTTGTAAAATCAGTGCCAAGGTTATTCTTGACACCTCTGTGTGTCGGGCAAAGTGGGGCTTGTGTTCTGTGAATTACTTGTCACCTTTTCTGTTAGCTGCCCTTATTTAGTTAATGATGACCTGTAGGCCTCACACTCAGTGATGCATATTTTATGGCTGCTTCCATGAAACTGGATCTCTCCTCTCTGAGTGATGGGCCGTTTGAGTGACTCTCAGTGAATCTGACTTTCCATAATCTGACCAAGAAAAGCACAGCTTACAGCTTACTTTGCAAAGGTTATTCGAAGTGGGCAACCCAGTTTCTGTTTTGATGAATAGCAAAGGAATTTGAAACAGAGATAGAAAAAAATTAAAAAAAATTATGTGATTACTTGGATATGGAAGACCATTTTGATAACTGTTGAAACATAGACTTTTTTTTTTGTTTTTACAAATAGTTTTTCATTGACCAGCACAAAACGTTGTCTCTGTAGTCATCTGCAGTTAAATATAATATCGTATTAAAACATATTGTATCGTGAAACAGAGCTGCCATTATGTCCGAAAATTTAGTTTCCTTTAAATATTTAAAGCAGACCGAGACATATTTCATATTTGATGAAATCTGCGCCAATTAACCAGAGTCTTGCAGTGAGATTGGGAGGCTTGAATGTGAAATTGATGAGCTTTTCCCTCTGGCTCTTGCTGGCACCAATTTTCTCTTGGCTGGGTGCAGTATTTGGAGGCAGCGTATTTCCTACATCGTGATGAGCGCCTCGCTCCAGCGCAAAGCAAGCGTCGGATGCGGTGTTTTTGTGCGGGGCACCAGGCTCGACCTTTCCTCGCCGTACGTTGGCGATGCTACCTGATAGTGCAGCTCGGCTCTCAGAGATGACTCACTCTGTTTAATGAGTTTCCCTGAAGCGCTACGTCGCCAGCTGTTGACCACCCTGGAGAGGTAGACCTTATCACGTAGAGAGAGTATGCTCTATATTTAGTGTCTACGAGTGTTTGGTGAGCAAAGTTGTTGTTTTTGTTGTTGTTTTTTATGTTACAATTGCCGGTGCTCCATCATTGTGTTTTAGTTATGATGAATATCTCTGAGTCATTCAAAGGAGCTGAAGCAGTTTAGCTGGAGTAGAGGTTTGTGGTTCATGTTGTGTAACCAGAAAACACTTTTTTCACACTTCACATAAAAAAAAAAAATGTTGATAGCTTTTAGTGTGATTTCATGTGATGGACTAATACAAAGTAGCATGACACGGTGATGTGGAAGGAAAATTAATGTCTGTTTTCAAGAAAAAAAAAAAAAGGAAAATCTGAAAAGTGTGGCATGCATTTTGCACTTCCGTTTTCAAATGCAGCTAAACACTAATAATGCTATGGGATCAAGCCAACATTGTCAGTCAGATGAGTTTACTGTTGAATTTGCAACAACTTGTGAGTAAATCCAGTACATGTTCTTAAAATGTTCACAAAAACAGCCCTGTTTTCCTTTGATTAAGTATTGTTTATCGAACCAGATGTTGAGTGGCTTTCTGTGTCTGCTAGGGCTGGATGTAATGACTCATTATATTCACATTCAAAATGTTTGGTACAAGCTGTCAGAATTTGATTTCTGAAAATACGAGATCTTTTTGATGAGGAAATCTGTGGAGTCGGTTGATGAAAAACTTCTCTTCTGAGCTTGAAGTTCTTCCTTGATCAGCTGTCTGACAGTGTTTCAACTTTATTTACCCTGACTGGATCACTTCTGACTATAAGTGGCGGCTCATTCAAGGCTTACAGGCAGCAGGCGGTGGATTTAGCATCCTTCTCTCCCCCTCTGCTTTCCTGTTTCCTGTGATGCTCTCAACCTTTTCCATGAACCTTTTCAAGGAGTGTGTGCTGTAGCTTAGCTTGAATAAGAGGGAAGAGATGTTTTCCAAAGCCTTAAAAACAATGTATAATTACTTGCTTAGGAAATTAAATTGAAGTCTACAAAAGCGTAAAATGTCCAAGTAAATATACCAAGGTTAAAAAGAACAAAAATACTCTTTGATATAAAGAAAAGTATTAGAAAGAGACAATTTAACTGGATTGTTATGTCCTTTAGAGTTTCACAGTTGATAGGGAAAAAACCCCCAAAAAAACAAAACAATAAGTATCTCACCCCATAATCATTCAGTTATTTTTGTACCAGAGACGTATCTGGGCTTTTGTCTGTGTGTTCCTAAATTTATGCAGTTTTATTCAAAACTAGGCCACGTTCTGCTCTAGATTATATCTGGACTCTCTGTCGCCCCTGAGGTTTCTGTGCGGTGGAGTGACGGTCGGTGTGTAGCCGTCCTCACACAGTGGGTGTCTGTCTGTGTTGGGTCTTCTTTTCTTAACACGGTTTCCTTATTTTTTCTTTCTTTGATCTCTTTGCAGAAAGAAATCTGCCAAATGGGATGAGATGAACATCCTGGCGACATATCATCCTCCTGACAAGGACTACGGCCTGATGAAGATAGATGAACCCAGCACACCTTACAACAGGTTAAAAGCTTCATATTTACATGCTCATAGTATCCAACCTATTGATTGAATAGTTTTAAAACAGCAGTCACTGTATTTTTGTTCAAGTCTCCACTAATTTAACATTCAGGAGATGTTTTATTATTTTTTTTGATTATCAGCTTTTCTTAATATTATAGAATATCTAGAAGTTAGTATAGATATTTAGAAGTAAATGCTCTAAATTACAATGTATCTGGGATGTGTAAATTTACACGACACTATTTACAGTACACTGGCACTTTCTTCTCAAAATTATCAACATAGAACTTCTTAATTTCAAAGTCAAAGAAACTTTAGCTCTGTTCTTGTCCCTACTGATCACTCTTTGACATCTACAACTTAATTGGAGTCCACTTGTGGTTAAATCAGTTGATTGGAGACTATTTGCAAAGGGAAATCCCTTTCAGCCACTCCAAACTGCATGAAAATGTGTAGCGTGTGCAGAGTTTGTTTTTTTAAAATTAAATTATTTTCAAAAGTTCTTCATCTTAAGGAAGAAAATACTTGAATTCGTTCTGGAATTGGTAGCATAACAAGATGCAGAAAAAATGAAGAGATGTGGAAGCTTTCTGGATGCTCTGTGCCTGCAGAGAGAACTGCACAGCTAAAAGCAATGGATTAAACTGAGAAGTTAGATGCAGAATTTAACAAATTAAGATTATTGTAATAAATGAAGTTTAATTGCAATTGGACTGAATTGCTTTTTTAAGTAAGACTCAAATTGTGGTTGCGGTTTAAGAATCCAGTTTCGTAAAATTAGATAATGATAAATTAAAGAGGGCTATAACTTAATTTAACTGGCATTTGGTTTTTAAATAAATAATATATATTTACTTCTTTTGCTCTAGGATGATTTTTATCTGGAAAATTAGATCTATAAATTACCTGAGATCAATTTTTTTCATTATTTATCTTTTTAGCTTGTTTGTATCCTTCCTCCATCCTTCCTGTTGATGTTTCTGATTGTTTTTCTCCCCTGCTGCGCTTCTGTTTTCAGGATGCTTGGGGTCGACGACGATGATGAGGGGGCACTCAGTGACTCAGAAGGCCACAGTGGTGGGCTCGCGCCTGATGACCTGGCCTCAAAGTAAGGATGGAAACATGAATGCATGGAGACAGAATAAAATCAAAGGGAACACAATCTGCTGGACTCTACCAGCAGATTTCTATTTTCAAAATATTTACAACTTTTAACAGCAATCAATGTGAGACCAGGGATTTTGTAATTTTATTAGTTTTTTTTTAGAACTTAGTTTAATTTAAGCAAATGACACTAGGTAGTAACGCTCAAAACACATTGATGTTAAAGTTTGATCAGGGTGAAAAAACATAAACAATGGAGTGTAATAAATCTGTCTAAATAAACAGTCATTGGCCACACAAAGATAATTACACTGGGAATATGTTTCTCCTACTAAAGGACGTTACAAAGACGAATCATATTGCTCAGAGCATACAAAGTAAAATTCTCCTTGGCCCAGACTCTAGGTGTTGAACAGAACAGGCAGATTGGGCCTAAAAACTCCTTATCTTGCTGTAGCAAAACCCAAACAAGGAAAACTTAAACATTTAAGAACAAAACTGCCTGTCGAGCGTTTTTAGCTTGCTGACAGCTGATTTGGTTTTGCTGTGTGTGCAAAACCAGGTGTCAGTCTTATTCTCCTTTATACAATAGAAACAAATCCCACAGCTTATTGTGAGTAATTGACGTCTCTGTCCACATCATGGACAATCCTCTACTTTAATTAACCGAGATCTAAGAACAAGGAGTTTAAGAAAGTTGTAATACTGCGGGATATCAAAACATACCGGACACTTATTAAAATTTTAAGTTAAAAATGAGGTCCTTTGACCAACTTGGAGGCAATGTCACGTTACACTACTGTTAAACAAGCAGCTGTCTCACTGGCAGATGCTGCAAAGCAAGCAGACATGTAGCTTCACAAATAATACAGACAGTTGTTCAGCTGTGAAGCCCCAGTGGTACAAAGTAACTTGGAGTCAGCAGCAACTTGCCAAGCAGCCGCAGTGACGACTCAGGAAACAAACACTGGCAATGAACCAAAGAGGAGAATCAGCAGCAGCAGCAGCAGCAGCAGGCAAGATGGGCCAGACTTGGTGCCAGACTGATCATGCTTGGATACTAGAGCATTTGTACAATGAAAAAATAGGAACATTTAGGTTTTATGACCACTTGTCTGAATTAGTTCACAGTTTTATTGTCCTTTAACCCTCTTGCGGTTTAAAGAGACGTGGTTGATTGGACACCACAAACTTTGTACCTTGTGTGCAGTCCAGCAGGGTCACACTGACCCTGCGTGCACTTTTACAAGGTTTTTATTTTGTGCTTTCGGGAGCTGAAGGTCTGATAGGACAATCCCTCACCGCACATGGATTGTGTTATGTGATTAACTGTTTGTTTATGTTGCTAACATGGAGAAGACTCTGTCCGGAAAGAGACTCTCCCATTAGATAGTGAAGGCTAAGTCTCTAGTTTACAGCAGCGGGAATCTCCCAATGTTGTAAGGGTTCTCTCCATCAGGGGTGTAGCAATCTCCTCTGTTTAGATGGATCCCCATGAGGGATATTTGTGCTGCAGGCAGCTGGTCTTCGCCACACACATTTGTACAGTTTTATTGTTCGAATGTGACAGCTCCTTGTTCTCTCACTCTGTTCTTTCTGCTGAGTCTAAATGGATTTGTGCGTAATTAAGAGTTGTCCTGCTGACAGATTCATCCTTTAGAGCTCTGCAGCTCCTCCAGAGATACCAAGGTCCTCTCTGTGTTTCACTTAATTGAGCTATGAGTTTAGATGGGCCGTCATGATTTGGTGGTTTTGCCACTTTAGAGAAGAGTATTACATAATTTAACTCTATTAAGTGACTTCGGGAGCCAGTTGTTTGCACTGAGCTTTATTTGAGATTGTCAGAGCAAATACATGCCACACCTTTGAAGTTTTTATAATATCAATGCAAAACCATATATGTTCTTTCCTCTGGTCTGTAACAAATAATCCAGAAAAAAAAAAAAAACACATTGCAGATTGTGGCTGTAAGATGTGAAAACATCTTGCACAATCTTAAGATTTTTAAGATGTGTAATTACTGTTTCACATATGAAGCAGTGAAACGTTTCACGTATGAAACAGTGAAATGTTTCATATGTTCCAGTGTGTGAAACGTGAAAATATTTAATTTTGGCTCTCAATGAAATTCCGTACAAGTGCAGATCAGTCGATAAGCAGGGCGTTTCTCAACATTCCTGCGTTCCAGGGAAGTGATGTCAAGCTTGCAAGGAGGCTGTAAGCTCAACGAAAACAGTCCTGAACACGCTTTCCTGCTGGAAACACGTCGATGCTGTAATTTATATGTTTAAACAGTCCATATGTTCTAATATAAATGTTTTTTCCCCTTTTTGCTGCCACAATCAAGAAGCTCTTTTTTTTACAACTTAATAAAGAACAGATGTTTTACCAATTCAACAACTGCGATGCGCTTCGTACAGCAAATGTGAATAAATGGATGGATTACATCTTTTTTTTCTGTCATTTTAGGTCCTAATGGTCCATTTGGGTTAAGAAATATTTATGTGCCACTCTAAGCTGTCAGCAGAATGTTAATGGGAGCCTGAGAAGTGTTTTGGGTCGTCATCCTTACATAAGTGCATTAAAGCTGGGATTGGATGAGGCAGTTTGGATGCTGCAGAGAGCTCAGTGATTAGCTTCAGGCTTGCGAGTCAATTAGCTGCGGTTGTTTACTTTTGTAATGAATGCCCTGTTTTGTTTTACACTAAACCCATCAGACAGTACCGACAGCTGCTGCTCTTTTCCCTTCATCATCCTCCCATCGTTCATGCTTTTACATCACCGATTCTCTCTCCTCCTTTTCTGTCTGTCTTAGCTGTTCTATCCCATCCAATTTGGCCCATCAGACACAATTATTGGAGCACTTTGAAGCTGTAGTGAAATGTAAACTCTTGACCAGGAGTGACTCGTGCCAGCTGGTTGGAGAGCAGTAGCACAGTGCAGGGGAGCTTCCCTCAGGCGCTTCCACATATTCACCATAAGCCATTATTCATTTTGTCTAACCCTGTTGAAACTTTCAGCGGGGCCGAGAGGAGAGAATAGTAAATTGTGTTTTTTTTTTTTTTAATCTCGTGAGTCATTAACGGTGTTCACTCTGCCTTTTATTCCATCATCTAATGTACTTTTTCTCCTGCTAACGTCTTCCTCTAACATCTATTTCTATAGTCAGATGCAGTAAGAGTTTGGATCTCTTTGCGTTGTTGTTGAAGGCTGGTGTGTCCAGTTGTTGTCGACGTGCTTCCCTGAGATATTTAAGATGGCTTCACTTTGTTCTTCAGGTTGGAGGCAGCTGAGGGGGCGGAGCCACGCTTCATGAAGGAAGCGGAAGAGAGCAGCGAGGAGGAGGAAGAGGAGCTGACTCCACAAGTGCAAGGTGATGCTTTGTATGTTTTTTAAATTGTGACAGTCAGTATTGTCATAATGGTGAGATAGTAAACAGTGCCTTACAGAACTATTTCTATCTTTCTACCTCATGAATTTTTTCACATTTTGTCACAATACAACCACATAATTATACTAAGATTAGATTACATTCACAACATTCACTTGGCAGCACTGATGGTGTCTGTCTTCAAGAGGTTTGCATGTTCTCCCTGTGTATTTGTGTGTTGTCTCTTGGTACTCCAAAAATATGACTGTTGGGTTAATTGGTTTCTCTAAATTGCCCTTAGGGGTGTGTGTGCATGCGTGTGTATGCGAATGGTTGTCCTATATGTCTCAGTGTGATCCTGTGATGGGCATCTTGTCCAGGTTGTAATGTCAAAGATAAGCACCAGCCATAATTTTCTTTTTATTTAAAAAAATAATTTTCTTTTATTTTTTATATATTTTATATATATATATATATATATATATATATATATATATATATATATAAAAAGATCAAAAAAGTCTAACTGGCATCCCTGAAAAACTTTGTCAACACTTTGCTAGAATTAAGCTGCAAGTCCTTTGTACTTGAATCTTATGTGAAAAAATTAGCTTTGCATTTTCAATTTCATTTAAAACTATATTTTTGATGAAGTCTTTTGATCAAATGAACTATTGAAGTTTCTAGAGTCATAAGAGACGGTGATGGGTGTGGGCAGGAAAATAGCCTGTATAGTGTTACAGCAGATCTGAAGAAAGCTCTGACTGAAAGCACTCTTAGTTTCCTGAAGGGGAATGTCTGGGGTTTTTAGTTTCGTCTTTATTTTATAAAGCATCCTTCTTTGTACAGTCATCTGTAGTGTCTCCAGAGCAGAACTGAGCTCGCCTTTTTATCAGCATGCTGAGCTTTTTTAAGTCACAGAGTCTGATTCTGCCAACCCAACATCTAAAAGATTTCTCCATAATTTTCTTTGCAAATGAGCTTGATTTCGGCTAGACTGGATGGAAAGCGTTTGTAAAGATGAGTCATTTTCTCATCTTGGCCTGAATTTAGGTCAGGACTTTGGCTGTTTGCTTAAGGTCTTTGCCCCGTTCCACAGCATGATGCCACCTCCACCATGTTTCACCATGGGATCTGGAGTATTCAAAGTGCAGTGTCGATTTTCTTTCAGGAATAGCATTTTGCACACTTAACTTCTGTTTTGGTGTGATTTCACCAGAGCACCTTCTTCTACATGCTTGTTGTATCCACTATATGGCCTGTGGTGAACTGGAAATGGGATGGTTGTATGTTGGACAGGAAATGCTCAAAGTTTCGGATAATGTTTTCAGACCTAATGCTTCTTTAAGCTTCTCTACTTCATCCCTTACCTGTCAGGTCAGCTCCTTGCTCTTCATGATACTGTTTGTTCACTGGTATTTTGTAGCAAACCCCCAGGGCCTTCACAAAGCAGCTGGATTCAAACTGAGATTAAATGACGCACAGGTGGACGTTTACAGACAGTTTGTTGCACTGGGTTCATTTATGGGTATCAGAGTTTAGGAATACTTTTCTTCTGCATTGCTGGTAGATTCTGGATCAGTAACAGTAGTTGCAGGTTTCATTTTCCATCTTATCAAGGGCACCCCACTGTTCACCTTTCTATTTATAGACGTGGTCTTAATATAAAGCGCCCTCTGCAGCTGTGAGGGTGACTCAGTGCTGCTCCACAGTGGATTGTCAGCACAAAAGGTCTCCATCAAAAGTCCTCAGGTGGTCTTTGTGATCCTTTTGACCTTTTTTTTTTTTTTCTGCTCTCCAGACAAAGACGCATGCATTATCCATCCTCAGCGTGTTAGCAGGATTTTAACCAGTCCGTGACCTCGTCCGTCTGCGCACTCTGAGGTTCATAATTGAACCAACTGTAGAGGTGGAGCAGGACACACACTGTACTTCCCCTGAAATAATCCACTCAGACCGATTGCAGGGGTTTCAGATTTATGTCCGGAAGGTTGAAAAAAATAAATACATTCTGGGAAATCTGCAAATGAAGTCGATATCACTCAGCATCACAGCTGCAAGTTCAGTAAACGCTGATCCATGTGCCGATTAACGCCACCTGCTGGAAAAAGATGAAAGTGTCGACTTCACAGAAATACTGGATGGTTTCTTCACCCAGTTTGACGCCGTTTATTTTTTTCTGATGTATTTAAATGCCTTTTATGAAAGAATCTCTTTTTGTCGTATTTTTTTTATTTTTTTTTAGATGTTTGTTACCAAAACATGCCAGCTGAGCAGCTTTAATCACCTTCATCAGGTTCCACACACAACCAGGAAGACAGACTGCAACACGTGACCCGGCAGCAGAGGCCGGGTCAGATAAACAATGTCGGCATGCTCTGTGGTACCGAGTGGAGGCCGATCTGTGTCGCTCTTCAAAGAGGAAATATGCTGCGACTAAAACTAATCTGAGGATTTTCTTGATCACTGCGGGGTTTAATGTTGATGGATGAAGGTTTTGCTGTGGTTAAGCGCATTAGAAATAAAACGTCACAGCGGCCTCTTTTGACTGTTGAGTCTTGCTTTCTTGCTGGTATTAAATGTACAAAGTTCAGAATCACATTACGTTTTTCAGACCAATTAAGAACAATTGCTTGTAGAGACGATTAAACCGCAAAAGCGACTCAGTTTTCTCATCCCTCCGTCATCTTTTCTCCTTTATCCTTAAAGAGAAGTAGAGACGGGGCTGGTGCCGATTGGCTGAAAGGCGGGGTACGCCAGGGACAGGTTGACGGTCTATTCAGGGAAACAGAGACACACAGGACAGACAACAACACACACACTCGGACCTGATGGCAACTTAGAGAAACCAGTTCACCCAGCAGTCACGTTTCTTGTCTGTCGAAGCTGTGATGATACTAATTATGATCAGCATTAATTTTCCTCCCCAATGCAGACTTAAAGTCTTCTCTTGATAATTAGTTTTAGGACGATACTGCTGCAAGACAGCGCTGCTAACCTGCAGCGTCAGTAAAGTCGTAATTTAAATTTGCTATGTAAACAACATCACGAGTTTTTCACATCTCACAGAGTTCTGCTATATCTATTGTTTGAAAACTGAACAGATTAGAGCTCAGCTGAAAACCGTACAGCTGATCTGACAGGAACGGCAGGGAGAACATAAATCAGGGAAGTGGCCAAGAGAACAACGGTAGCTCTGGAGGAGCTGCAGAGATCCCCAGCAAAGGAGGAGAATACGTCAGCATGACAGCTAAATCTGGTTGAAATCTAGTGTAAAAAAAAAGTTTAAATGGAAAAACGGGCATGCATGTTTCCCCAGCAGCGATAGGGACGCAGGTGTAATCTTATTACAATATGGATGGAGCTTTAGCCAAATGAATCTCAGGTTTTTGAGTTTACGCATAATTACACGCAAGTCAGCACAGTCAGTGTTTTCTGTTGGTTTTGAAGTAATTTTTTTTGTTTGTTTCTCCTTTCAGCCAAAAAGAAGCATTTTCAGATGATGAGGAAGATGCACTATGATGAGGCCATGAACATAAGGCTGGCTCGCGAGCTCATTGCTAAAGAGCTGGAAGATGATGATGACGATGAAGAGATGAGGGATGACACAGAGGATCCAAGGGACAATGTGGAGGAGACGGAGGAGATCACTGTAGACCCGCCACAAGAAGGTAAGGCGAAGGGAGACGCTGTACCTTCACACATCAGAGCTTGTAGAAAGGAAGCATGGGAGACCACATGAGGAATGAGTAAACATGTTGGTTAAAATGATCAGACATAATGGTTTTGCTCATCATCATTAGTGTAAATTTCATTACGCTCCATTTCTGCTTCCCCATGGATTATATTCCCAGACACTAGAGCATCAGAGCGATAACTCATCGTCATGGTGACTAAAGCGTGTTGTGATCGCTCAGTGTGTATAAAGATGCACACGGCCTCTAGGGCTGAGCGATTTGACTTAAAAACATCAGATTTTTTTTTTATGCCAAATCTGATTTTAATCGATTCGTTGTTTTATTTCTTGCTTTCGTTTCTAGAAACAAAAATACAGATGATAGAAAATATTTTCAAAAAGTGGCTTTTATTTCAACAATCACTTACATGACTTGTACAACAGAGTATTAGGGCCAGACCACAAGAATCGTTGTTTAATCATGAGACTACAGCCATGATATTAGCAGAATAAAGATGCATTTTTACCAAAAGAACATCATAAAATTATGAGAAAAGTCATTTTAATGAGATAAAAGCCTTGATTATGTCTTGAAGTTATCAAGATGTAATGTGACCAGCTCAATCTGTGTGGTTCGTTCTTCGAAATAGACTCGTCGTTTGCTCAATCGCTTCAAAGTCCTCCTACTGATAATAATTTGTTGCCGATACCAAAGTACAACTTCGCAAGATGCTCAACATTCCTCATTTAAATTTTTTGTTATTTTCGTGTTGGAATACTCATAAAATTAATACTACATTCTCCTAATACAGGGGTGGCGAACCGCTTGCTGCGGCTCTTTGACGGATCCTGTGTGGCTCTTTGATTCTGAAATTTCCCACACCCCTTGAAGGCAGAAGCAGCGTAACGTGCAGCGCAGGTTGTGAAATTAATTCTATTAAGATAGCGCTACAAGTCTGCAGTAGTTGTTGGTGTAGGACAGTCTTTCTCAAACTGTGGTCCCCGGTCCACTGGTGGTCCGCGGGCACCCCCTAGTGGTCCGCAAGGTATTGCATGCCGTGAGGGTAGCTCAAAGTCCGACGCACACAGTTAGTTTACCAAAGGATTTCTTTTTAAAAATAATAATGGGTAAATGACTTCAAACCGGGTCACTCAAAAGAGAATCTGAAGGTACCTGTGGGAAATTTCTCAGGGTGAGTTGCAGAAGTTTTGTTTTTGAACACTATTGCAATAAATAGCATGCCTTCACGCGGATCTCGGTCTGGGTGATCTAGAGATCTAGGTTTCTACACTTACAGGATCTGTAAATAACTCAAAACGTCCCGAGCAGCAGTAGCTCATAGTTGTATCATTGTCATTCACGTTTACAAAACAGCGCTACCCTTCACATTAGGATGAATTAAGACAATGGGTTAAGAGACTAATATTTTCATTTCAGGTTGTACATATTAAGATGTTATGTTACTGCGGGGCCAATTTCAAATTAGGTGGTCCGTGAGTGTTCGTAAAACGGGTAAGTGGTCCTCGGCCTGAAAAAGTTTGAGAAACACTGGTCTAGGAGGAGAGATTTTAGGTGGAACCTGAATCGTTTATGAATATAATCTGTTTCCATGATAACAGTTTTCCTCAACAGGTCTCTGTATTTCTAGCGGCTGCATTATTTCACCTCGGTGCACTTTGCGCCGCACCCAAGCTCAGAGGATTGTGGTGCAGAGGTGGGAGTGAAGCAGAACAAGCTGCCGCCGCCGCTGCGCATATAAGAGAACATGATGTCAGAGTTTGTACAGCAGGTTCTGTTGCCGCCAAGGGAAAAGTAAACAGGTTCTGATCACATGAACGCAATCAATGCTGTGCGCAACGCGGTGGCGTGAAGGGTGGCAGGGTCACTTCCACAGAGCTCAAAAGTTTTCTTTGTCTTTGAATGAGATTTTACTGTGCTTAAACAAGTCTAATCATTGTGAAGGAGTTGCTTCAAGTAGTTGTAAAAGAGTACAAACCAAACCCAATAAACAATGTTAGGTGGCCCGCTTAGCTTTAGGGACTTGAGGACAAAACTTTCAGCAGGCAATGCGGTATAAAGCTAAACTTGAAATTGCTGTGTGGCTCTTTAATTTGGCTCTTAATGCTGAACTGGTTCGCCACCCCGTCTTAATATTACAATATTATTCTGGTGATATTAAGGGTTTATCCTCATATTAATTAGACTTTGCTCTTAAAGTATTCTAACTTTATTCTCATATGTAAAAAAAATAAATAAAATTATAGCCATATTTTGCAGAAAAGGTAAAAAAAGAAAAAGAGAGAGCTTGTCAAACAAGATATCGGTATTGGGAGTGATGACATCAGTCTGAACTATGGAAACCAAGGAGTGCAATGGGGGGGTGGGGGGTGGGGGGGATTTACTAAAGAATATTTAAATGTTTGTGTATACCAAGCATCTACCTTTGTTTATTCCTGTGTGTCTGTCCTCCAGCTGACTCCTTAGAGTCGTAGATGACTTCTCCCACCGGCAGCGCCGTGGCAGACCCGGATCCAGCGAGATCCGCCCATCGGATCTGTGACTGAAAGCAGAGACGTTAAGGCAAACACCGCTTCACCACCTGTCCAACATCTCCCAGCAGCCAATAAGATTACCGGTCACCTCTTTGTCTCCACTATTCCCATAAAACTGTGCAATATAACCTCTATTTTTAATTTTAAAAATGGTTTTCAGCTCTAGGTATATGTCCGAAACATACACACACGGAGGCTGTTGCCCCTCCCCCCTCTCCTGTTGCCAAGAATGTCCTCCTCTCACCTCTCGGACCGACGTCGCACTGAAGAATCTATGACTCAGACACTGAAAGGAGGATCAAGGTCTTTTTAGAAATAAGAAAAAAAAAGAATGACAAGAAAAACCTCACAACGTTGAGCTTATTCTGGCTGAAACAGCTTGTCGGTTGTGGAAGAAGCCAGGGGGAAACCCCACGGCCTCTCTGAAGGGTTTTATGTCACATGATGGAGTTTCCAGTGGCTGCAACTCGGATTTCTTTCCCGTTTTCCTTTTTGATCAATCACACCGCTGCATTTTATGTCTACCGGTTTTCCATCTCTAGGAATAGTTAAACTGCTAAAATAATAAGGCTGCTCCACATACAATATTGACATGACATGATTACTGGGGTTTGGGGAATATATTAGTCCAAATTGTGTTATTAAAATAGCAGGTATTTTTCAAGGAAGAACATTTGACTCATTCTTGATTGTCCCACTTGGATGCTCATTTTCAGTTTCTCATTTCCAGTTTACAAGCATTTCTAAGTGACACCAGACATCTTGAGGTACATTTTTCATTCACTGGAATCCTTTTTCATCCCTTCAAGGTAATTTCGTTCAAGAATAAGACAGGACAAGCTGCTCGGTCGTCCGTGTTTTCCTTTCTCTGTGTAAAATCTACAGTATTTTTGATTGTAAAGTTGGCGAGGAGAGACCGTATGGAAGTGCTGCTGCTGAACTTTGGTATGTGCTACTGATAGACCTGATGAATAGGTATTAGATTAACAGTCTGAGCTGTGCCAAGTTATTTGAAGGAAATTCAGAACAATGTTGCTTAATGTTTGTTTTGTTTTTTTTCTTCACTTGGCTTAATCCACGGTTTGAGTTTAAGGCTATAATGTTTGATCTGCTTGCATGACTCGGCTCAGGATCATCATAGGGCAGGGGGAAATGTTTGTAATGCTACTGACTGAAGTCGGAGGACGTTGGAGACGGATTAAACCACTACAGCTCATTGGAGGTGCGTTGAGGACTTGGAGTTCTCTTTCAAGGTTCAGCCATGTCTCACTACATAGTCTTAAAAGGAAAAAGAAAGCCAGTCACTCTCATGTCGACTGTAGGACTTGGCTGCATATGCTGGGAACTCAGTTAAGTATGGAGCAGAAAAAGCATGCAGGGAATCATGAGCATGTCTTATGTTATCTCTTTATTTTCCCCGTTGCCCTTTAACGCCCCACTGTGACCGGACACGTCGAGCTTTATGTTGCGGAAATTCGGCAGGTCACAGCTGTTGGTACGACTCCTGCCAAAAGTCTCTGTGCATTTTTTCCCCCCATGGTTAGAAGCAAACCAATAAATATAGAGTTTGGCAAATGGAATGAATATTTGAGCAAAAAAAAACAAAAAAACAAAAACTGAGATTCTTGACAATACGGCTGTTTTAATTTGTAAACTTGTGGAAAAAGTGACTCTAGAGAAGCAGATGTGATTCTGTTTCTCATTTTAGACAAAACACAATGGACATGGATCATCCTGTAGTCGGTTGTGACCTGACAAATGTGCCTCTAATGACTTAATGAACTTGTGTGTTTAGTGAACAAGCTCTCTGTGATACTTTTTGCCTCTTTTTTTCTGTTTTTGTTTTGCATTACACCTGCCCTGTTGTGTTTTCTACGATGTGTAGATGTTTATGCAGTCCTCTGATCTAGAGATGCACCAATCAGATATTTTCTGGCAAATTTCCAGTTGTTTTTTTTTTTTTAGATCTGACTTGCTGATTTTGATTATTTTTCCCAGGGATTATATTGAAAATGATGGAAAAACTGTTCTGCAAGTTGTTTGACAAAGTTTGTGATAAATAAAAAAATTACAAGACTATTCCCATTTACGTTTGCTATACATCAAAGCAAATGTCTCAAACCTTTATCTGATTTTTTTTTATATAAATCAGATGCTTCAAAGTACTTCATATTAGTTGATGCATTTATGGACCTAAAATGGTGGGACTTAGTTATTGGTGCATTTAATAATTTGAAAGTAAAAAAAAAAGAAAACAAAATTGATTAATTGGTTATTGGTGTTTCTCTACTTAAGACGGTCATATGTCCCAAAAATGTTTTCTTATAATTTCCTGTCTGCATGTTCTTACTCATCAAATTGTGCATATTGTTTTGTTTTTTCCCCCGTCATTAAACAAACATTGTTAGAAGCCTGTGTGATGTTCATTTGCTTTGGATGTAGCAGTTTGAATGAGATAAATGCCCGTTTTGATTTGGCGATGACTTACAGATGAGCAATCAATCTATTCCGACACTGATAAAAACGTGTTGCTTTTATTATTTTATAAATTAATTAAATAGTCACTTTTTGTGAAGTTCTGGTCTATTTAAATTGAAGTGTAAATATATAGGAGACCTCTTAATTTTGAGTGTGAAACGTGATAAATCAATTGCAGAATTATTTTAGGAAGTTCTTTTTTTATCGCTTGGTTTTATTGCTATCTAAATTGCTGTCTACCACCAGATAGCGCTGTTACACAATCTTTCATACCCATAGGCTTTCTAGTAATGGGATAAAGCGTGAGACTGATCAAATCAAAGCGGGGAAACCTCTTATTTAACGCAATGTGTCATTGAATTACAATAGAAATGTTCAAAAGTATTTAAGATTTGCTTTCATTGTTTGTCAGTGCGCAGATTCACAATGCAGGGGAGTAGCTTGAAGTATTCTGAAAACGCATCCTGAGTATTTTTTTAAGGATCAGGAAGCTCCTGTCAACTGACGCAAAGATTGTGTATTCAAAGGTAGACCTGTCACACAGTTCAATTCTTTAACGCTGGCCCTTAACACAGCACACAGTAAAACATATTTGTGCAGACTTTGTGATACTTATGTAGATATACAATAAATACATGGAGCTCTCTCTTCTTATGTGTGTGTATGGTGCAATTGTATCATCAACTGAATAGAATTGTGCATCTTCAACAAACGTAAACGCTTCAACAAACGCACGCTTTCCTCCGGTTAAAATGTTCATATAACATATTTATCGCATGTGTTAGTTATATAGCTGTCTAATATTATCAAATTGTCAGTTGTAAAAAATGCATTAAGGAAACACGACATTCAAACACTTTTTGGCTGTGGGGGAAAATACGTTCAGAGTGTCCGACTGGATTTTATTGACCTATTTCCAGAACCGATGAGCAGTCCTTCCATGTAGACGATCTTTGTGTGTAGATCTGTTGGAGAAAAGCTCCTCTCCCGCGGACTGCTATGATAGAGCTACTGGACAACACTTTCCGTTTTCAGTGCTGACCTCTGCTTTTGGGACAGTTTAGTGACGGGGTTTTTTTGGGGGGGTGGACTCGTTCACAAAGAAAAGCGTCGTTTATGAGCGCTGTCCAGCCACTTCTTGTTGGTAGCTGCTGGCCTCTCAGGCTAGCTGGCTTAGCGGAACGGTGACCGAGTGGAGCCAGCTGGTCGGACGGAGAAACAGGAACGTTAGCGAACAAGCTAATTAGCCAAAAACACTGGGCTTGGATTATTGCCTTTAATCAAACATAGATAGCAGGTTGTGCAGGCGCAATTCACTGCGGCAAAGATGAAAATAACCGTGGACTTTGAGGAATGTCTGAAAGACTCCCCACGCTTCAGGTGAGCGACTTTAATTTCCGTCTTTTCCCTGTTTATCTGTGTATTTGTTTATGCTGGGTAAAGTATCCAGTTAGCGCGATGATCAGCAGTAAGGAGCTTGCTGGTTGTTGCCTGCTGCTCTTCTATTTTTGTCCCTCAAAGAAAGCCGGATCCAGACTGGGAGGTTTCTGGTGGGGCAAAGAAACCAAACAAACTCAATGAGTTGTTCGGTGAGACCAAACGAAGGGAATGTTTTTCACCATAAATTATGTAGAGATAGGAAAATGTATTAAATATGAATGTTGGGAATTACTGGCTGTGCCAGTAGCCTGAACTGACACGACAGTGTATTGTACTATATCCTTAATTATGAATGATTTAGCATGTTACCCAATCATATTACTCCTAGAAGACTACAAGCACACCACCTGTTTATTACAGTTTAATAATGTGCACAGTCACAACTTTAAAGTCTCCTCTGATGCTGGTTTTAAAAATTTTAAAAATATTTTCAAATGTAAGTTTTGAACGTTAGAATGTCAATATTGCCTATAGTAAAAGTGCATCATTAATCAACAACTGCTCTGATTGGTTGATACCAACGTCCTGCAGGTTTTTGCTATAAAAGAAAAAAAAATTAATCCATCAGAAAATGAAGGAATGACAAGATTCTCCTGATCAATGCATCAAAAACATTTCCTGAACCTTTAAGTAGATGTTTGTTGAATCTTGAAAAGCATAAAGCTGATGGTTGATGCAAACCAAACATACTAGGAGTTGAAAAGTTTGAGATGTTTAATGGACCGATAAAATTAAGATTGTTCAGTTCTTTATCAATCAGATCTGATCAATTGAGAATTCAGATCTCTAGCTGACTACTGGTGTTGGCCTGCTTTGTTGAGTTTATTAAAAAATATATAATAAACATCTTGGATGCATAAATGGGGATAATCTTTTAATTCTTGGACTCAAACAATTCACCCAAGTCTTTTAAACCTGCACAGCACATGGTTGTACAAAAAGACAGACCTGCATGAAAATTGAATCAGTTTCCTAATCGGTTTCTCTGTAATAGCAGTGATTTTTATCACGTATTTCCATTTAGTTATTGCTTTTAGTCTTGCAGCAGGAAGGTCCTGGGTCAGATCTCACTCTGGAGTCTTTCCACATGTTGTCCCTGCTCAAGTCTGGGTTCTTTCTGGGTACTTCAGTTTCCTTCCACGATCCAAAAACACATCTGTTAGGTTTATTGGCCCCTCTAAAATGTCCTTGGGTTTCCATGGATGGCTGCATGCTGTGTGTCTCGCTGTGTTGCCCTGTGACGGACTGTCCATCACAGGGCGGGTATAAACAATGGATGGATTAAGTAAATAGACATTTTCTCTCTCTTTTGCTTCCCAGCTGTCATGATGTTTCCAAAGCTCCCTCTTTGTTTTAATCATCTTTGTCAGGTGTATGCAGCTGTTACACCATGAAATATAATTGTGATCAATACAGCTTACCAAACAGTCATTATTCTAATCAGTAATGCTTAAACTGATGCTGTAGCAAAGTTTTATGCTGCTCTTATAGGTGTTGGTGATATGGACCTACAATTTTATTTTGATATTTATTGTCATTTATTGAGATAACAACAAAAGTGCCAATAACAAAGATTTTTACAACTTCTTAGCAGCCGTTTTGTTCGGTAACCTTAAGGTTGCACATCACTGCTATCAAAGCCCCACAAACACAAATATTGGAACACCAAATGAGTGTGATTTTTATCACGTATTTCCATTTAGTTATTGCTTTTAATCATGTTTTCAATTTCATTGATATTTATTAATGCTTTCATGGAACCAACAGTGGAAAAAAATTTAAAAAATAACAAATTTGTGTGACTGATACAGTCAGATTTTGGAGCTTCAAATGTCAACTGAAATGTATCATTGACGTGATAAGAAAATTTTTATGATGGCAACAAATTCTATAATAAATGTCCATCCTTATGTCCTAGTAGTGGATGTTACGCTTGAAGTAAAAAAATAAAATAAAACCCACTAAAGTTTCCACAAATGACAAGATTAAACTTGCTCATTTCTACCAATGTTACTTTAGTTTGGTTTTCTTGTACTAGTCGTGTGTCTTTAGACCATATTGTAACTCAAAAGTCACCATTTGCAGCTTTTTCTCCCCCACTTTGTCAGCCCTTTGGGAGGTGTTAAGTTGAGTGTTTGTCCTCAACCACCCCATCCCCCTTGGGTTGCTTTGCGTTCAGTGTTTTGAGAAAAGCATCCCTCTTCTTCCTGTCTCTCACACTCTGTTGCTTGAACATCCTCCCCCAGCCAAACGAGGAACAGATGTTAGAAAGTTGCTTTTTTATCAACGCATTTCCTTCAGGATCACGTAAGGGGGGCTGGAGAAGAGGGGGACTTCCCGCACACTGGAGTTGCCTAAAACTGTAAGGAAAATATGCAATACATGTATGAGAAGTGAAAGCATATAGCCAAACTGTGCTAAACTGTTGACAGATGGTTGTTCTGTTAGTCCAAGATGGTGGCTTGACTTTAAAGCCTCTTCCTTCTTAACATCAACATAAGGAGCTAATTTTAGATCGATTGTGAACAACAGAGGGGCTGAGTCACAGCAGAACTGGGTTGGAGTGGGCTGTATAACCAAGGCACAGTTTTTGGAAACAAAGAAAGGAAAGTTATTAATGAGCCACATTTCTGTAGCATCCCTGAATTTCACTGAGACCAAGTAATGCTTATATACTCTGGGGGGGTTTTGTGCAGTTACAAATAGATAAGCAGTTTGGAAATAGAAATAGTTTCCTATTTCCTATTTCAGGAAATAGGATTACTGGTCTTCTGATATTAAAGTAAGAAATCTGTATTACAGAGAGAGTACCTGGGAATTGAAAGCAAGATTTAAGTTCAAAATACCTCCAAACATCAGTCTCAGCTTTATTTAATAAATGACTCCATCAACTTTGTGAATTTTCTTTCACTTAAATCACTGGTATGAAATATTAATATGTTGTGTTTAGGAATATTAACAGCCTATCATGCAATTCTAACAAAGATGAATGTGTCTTCAAATTCCTCCTCAGGTACAAATAAAGTTTCATTCCATTGAATTGAATTTATGAACACCATTTCTTCAAAAAGCCAGCGTCCATGATGGTGTCTTGGTGCATCCAGCTAACGTTAAATGCACACTCTACTGTAATCTAATGTAAAAAGCGGCTACTTTTACTTTGAAATAAGGCACAAACCTTTATCCTGACATGGTCTGCCTCTATATCATCTCTATCATTTTTAGATCTTCTTGAGTGTTATGCAGAAATAACTATGCATGCATATAAGAGAAACTGTCATTCTGATTTGCAACATTGACAGTGTGATGTCAGGATACTTTAATTAGTTCATGCCTGCATGAACTAGCAATCCAAGATCATGGAAGATCTGAATTTAAACAATATGAACACTGTAGTCTGTTTTTATTGTTAGTAATATTGTTTTTCTAATACAAAGTTTCTTCTCTTGAGGTCCAGCGATTCCCCACTCTCCATCTTTGTTTTCATTACCATTGATCTTTCTCAGAGCCGCCTGTCAACATAAACTCTGCATGAGTTGTGTAGTTATCAGACGCTGTCGCAGCACAGTTTCAGCTCCGGCTCCCGCTGCTTTCATCACATTTTTCCAATCCCCCGCCCACGCCCACCCCCCTCAATGAGTTAAATTTGGTCAGGAAAGAAGACAGTGGCAGAGACAGAGGGGATGGATGACAAACATTGAATATAGAAGCAGCACACAGCAACTCCAGCTTGCTCAACATCTGTTTCCATTTTGGTGTTTACTTTTAACTTTGTGCCAGAGAATATGGAGCCCTGAAATGTGGAGAAGGTTTTTTCAAGTGGTAATTTGGCACACCCGCATGTGTCTTTTTCTTTTTTTTTTTTTTTTAAGCTCTCATCATTGCTTTAGCTGAGAAGCTGTGCTTGGTTATAGACTTCACTCTCAGCCTGGGGAGAGCACAAACACTAGAGAGCAAAAAAAAAAAAAAAAAAACAAGTTTTTTTGGCATAAACCCTTGTAGCCTAGTTTCCCACTTGAGGCTCGGCCTCATGAGCTCTGTTGGCTCCGTTGCAACTATGAGAGTTGAAAAATCCTTCCAGAGAGCTGTGGCTTCACTCCCCACATGTGTAGGAACAAAAGTTTTACATATTTGATGACTTTCCATCCCAACAAAGCCAGTTGCCACAACATAGTTTGCATATACAGTTAATGCTACTTGGACGACCGCTATTGTGGAGACGATTTCATCCAGCTAATTAGAGCTGACTTGAAAGGTCCAGAAGAGTGTGGGATTTTTTTAAGTATTGTCCAAGTCTGGCAGGTATGGAAAAGGTTAGCATTTTCAGACAGTTCCCAGCTTTGTTATCTGTGATTTCTGTAAATAAGTTGCTCAGGCTATCAGCAACTTTTATGCTGGTTTTATTTAAGAAAGACACATAATTACAGTCAATTTTTCTTCTTCATGCTCCACATCAAACCTTGAGTTTTAAACACCTTCAACTCATGTCTTTCACTATTCATCTGTCCATCCGTCCATCCATCCATTTGTTAATTCTTTCATCTGTCTGTCCATTAACTTGTCGATCAATTCATCCTTTTCTCCTTTATTCTACCTAATAGGCCCAAATCATGTGAGTTGTATTATTGTAAGATTTTTATGATCATCAGCAATATTTATGTATTAAAAATTCTGAAGTTATATTGATGTCTTTGGGAACAATATGTAGTTATTGGCTACTGGACATATTAAACCTACCATGCATCAGTTAATATCCACTGACAGGACTAGTTCTTAATTTGCATTAATAAAGCAATTTCACCTTGGTGGATAGTGCACCAAAACGGGCTCCAGCCCAGGGCCCACATCCTTGTAAATCCAGCCCTGTAAATGGGTGTAAATAAAGTAAATATGACCTACTGAAAACTGAGCAGCAATTCTTGCTCCGTTCATGTTTCGTT